TATACGTGAATTTATTTATTAACACATTATCGTGTCTGCCTCGCTTTAAAATGTTGTAGTTATATACTATACGTGAATTTATTTATTAACACATTATCGTGTCTGCCTCGCTTTAAAATGTTGTAGTTATATACTATACGTGAATTTATTTATTAACACATTACCGTGTCTGCCTAGCACAGGCACATTGTGTACCAGCACACATTTTCTTCGATACAGTGTTTGGCGATAAAGTACACAGTCGTATGAAAAGAAATCGTAATTTACTAAACACGATATTTCCCAGAAACATCAGGGTAAAAACAAGGTACAAAAAGTTACCAACTTGTTCAGTACCTTTCATTGATTACACTTGTCGATGCTTCAATTTTTTCTTTGATTCTGGAGCTGTACGCCTCGTGTACAAACACAGGTATAAACTAGAAATATGAATGGACTTACGCTGAAGCAAAGTCGAGAAGTGAGGAAGACTTGGAGACGGACTATAAAATCATCCATTTCTCTGTGGGTCACTGTTCAACAGATATCGGTGTGATTTTTAACACCGTATTTTCATCAAAAGGAGAAAATGGATTTGAGAAATACTGGGTCAGAGGTGAATAAGACCCAAGTCTCAAAGCAGTGGCATTAGGAGGGAACTGAAAGTGGGTTGTTGTTCGAGAAGAGTAACGGGGACTTGCGAGGCCGATAGGACTTAAAGGACTCCAAATTGGTAAAGGTATCAGCGCATTCTTACTTTGTGGCAAATATGGACTGCTGAATGTAACTACAGGAGTCTGGAGAGATCCAAATCCATTCTCGGACAACTTTGTGCAATTTGACGAGTTACATGGGACAGATAATATGGGTGGTGGTTTTGGTTTTGGTTTAGAAGTTGATGAAACCACTACAAAAGAAGGTGTAAGTGAATCACCAGTAACTGGCTGGGATACAGAAGTCGTCGTGGAGTTTGATCTTGGTTCTACTTTCATTCTTTTAGTTTGTGGATTAAAAGAAATTCTGCCCTCTGCAGAGTCATTTCGATTTTGTTCAATTTGCAAACACTCCTCCTCCTCGTTCGACCTCTTAACCCCAACTTCCCTTGACGTTGTCGTGTTCACGACTGGCGATATTCGAACCACGGGTGTAACACTGTGCACTTGAAGAAGAGGTGAAGCTTTGAACTCTGTTTCTGTATCAGTGTTTTTATTTTCACTATCTTCCCGCAGGTCTAACGGGACGATATGTTGGTGAGAAGGATACATTTTACTTTCAGAAGAGGCTATCGTATACGACACTGATGTAATGGACGGGGGCTTTGGGAAAACAGCCCCGCCTGATTTTCTGATGTTCTCCATTTTTATACGGAAAGGAATCTTGTTTTCGGTTTTCACGACGTCAGGGAACGATACAAAACGATAAACAAACTTTTGGCCTAATACCTTTTTGATGATATTTTTATCATAATAGTATCTTAGGGCACGGCTAAGCTTGTCGTAATTCATATTCAATTTGTTCTTCCGCAGCCCCCACATACGAGCCACCTCTTCTGAATTCACCAGTTTGAACTCTCCTTCTTTGTTCGTCCATGTTATAATGTGGCTATACTGGTCGCTTAGCAACAACTCGAGCAAAAACTGCCACAAAGTGATATTCGTATCCATACCTTCTGGAAGATCTAAAAGAAACAGAAACCATGAAGTAATATTAATACTATACTGTTAGAAAATGAAACAAAGTCAGATATATTATATATTGATAAATACACTTTCAAGCGATTAGATCGATACTTGACAAAATCACGATTTCATCAAACACAGTTAGACAGAAACTGAATTGACAATTATTATCTCATGGAAACCTAGAACAAAATACAACCCTTGCCGTTAAATTAGTGTATATATACA